TTCTATGATTAATGTCACTGGTGTCTCGGGCTGCTCCGGCAAGCTCTGCTGGAGTGAGCGCGGCTGAGTGACAGGAGGAAGAAGAGACACTCAGCTCTCCATTAAACATTAATGCTCGGCCCTGACTTGCATTTGGTGAGATGGTAAAAGCCTCGAGATGGCTGGGGATCGATCCCAGCCACGATGCTCAACACCAGGGTCGAGCCTTGGAGAGGGAGACGGGAGAGAGCCGGAGACCAGGACTGCCCTGGCGCAGCCCCCTGGCAGAAAGCAGAGAAATAAATAAAAGAAATAAAGTCCCAGATGAAAAAAAAAAAAAGAAAAAAAGACGACGAGATGCCTGGGCTGGGTGGGAGAGGCCACCGCTGCCAGACGCAAGCCATCGGGGCAGGAGCCCAGCACCATCCTTTTCCCACGCCCTGCTCACCCTCTCCAAGCGATGGGAGCCTTCAGCTCAGAGCAAGGACATTAACTCACCCACAAATATTCCCTTCCCTGCTTCCATGGCTGGGATAAACCTCTAGCACAGGGGCATTAATGCAGTGCATTAATAAGCTCTTAAACTCCCCTGGGTGCTTGCTCAGCACCCATGAATCCAAGCCCCCGAGAAAGCCCGTGTCCCATGGAGGACATGGAAGAGGGTGGTGCTGGGGTTGGCACAGTAAACTGGGATGGAGTTAATAAAGGTATCGACCTCTCTGAAATAAACAACCTGTGCACAGGACCCCTGCAAGGACACACACACTGCAAGGGTGCATGGCAGTTCATGAGAAATTAAATTATGTGCTACATAAACTCCCCTGGGTGCTTGCTCAGCACCCATGAATCCAAGCCCCCGAGAAAGCCCGTGTCCCATGGAGGACATGGAAGAGGGTGGTGCTGGGGTTGGCACAGTAAACTGGGATGGAGTTAATAAAGGTATCGACCTCTCTGAAATAAACAACCTGTGCACAGGACCCCTGCAAGGACACACACACTGCAAGGGTGCATGGCAGTTCATGAGAAATTAAATTATGTGCTACAGTGGCTGAGTTGTATCAGGAATGGGACACGGCGGGGTTTTGGCCAAAGCACCAGCTCCAGAAAGGGTTAACGGTGCATAAGATATGTTTAGTGGGATTTTTTTTTTTTTTTTTTTCTCCTAAACTCCAACAAACAAAGCATATGAGAAAATCCAGTTCACAGCTGAGCCCTGGCTGCCTGCCCACTAGGGCAGGGAAAATGCAGATGGTTCGAGACGGATCCCCACGCGCCTGCGTTTCTCCTGCAGCCCGTGGCTCAGGGTCCCTGGCAGGTCTCCCCTGGTTGTATTCAAGCTGGCTGAGGTGGCAGTCGTGCAAATGGCAGTGCAAAAACAACACTGAGACATGAGCAAATCTGCTCCCCTCCAGCCCCGTGGAGGAGCCGGGATCCTGTGAGGCTCCACTTGTTCAAAAATAGTAATTAGCTCTCAAAGTAAATAGGTGTTAACAGAAACAAAGAGCTTCGCCGCAGTCTGGGTAAACACCTTAGGGTGAATTTAATTTCCCTTCTCCCGGCAGATGTAATTGTGCTGCTCTACGACTGTTTTCAAGCCGGGGTGGGGAATGAAGAGGCCACGGTGGTGGAGCGGCTGCTCCTCAAGTGGCACCGGGGCAGCTGTCGGTACCCACCACATCACTGACATTTCAGTCCCTGAGGCTGAAACAAGCTTCCTTTTGACAAACCAGATGTTTAATGTGACGGGCGATCAGCGAAACCAGCAGCTAACCCTAGCACGACGTTACACCTCCCTAAACACCAGCCTGGTTCTTCATCCTTAGAGTCCCCCGGTCTAGACAGGACGTGAAGGAGTGATGTGAAAACCAACCCACGGAAAATTTACACTCTCCTGTCCAGCTGCGAACAGAAAGAAGCATCAAAGGGTATAAATATATTCTGCCTGTTAATTTTTTTGCCTGTTGGGAGTATGGGCAGCACCCAACCTCCCTAAACACCAGCCTGGTTCTTCATCCTTAGAGTCCCCCGGTCTAGACAGGACGTGAAGGAGTGATGTGAAAACCAACCCACGGAAAATTTACACTCTCCTGTCCAGCTGCGAACAGAAAGAAGCATCAAAGGGTATAAATATATTCTGCCTGTTAATTTTTTTGCCTGTTGGGAGTATGCACGATCCCATGCTGGTGCAGAGGGTTTGCAAACGGTTCGCATCACCCTGTGCAGCTGCTTTCAGGTTGCCTGTTTGCTCACTAAATCATAGAATCACAGAATCACAGAATGATATGGGGTTGGAAGGGACCTCCGGAGATCATCTAGTCCAACCCCCTGCCAAAGCAGGTCCACCTAGAGCAGGTTGCACAGGAACTCATCCAGGCGGGTTTTGAATGTCTTCAGAGAAGGAGACTCTACCACCTCTCTGGGCAGCCAACATCATGCTAAAAAACAATCAAAAATCCATCTTTTCCCTACCATCATGGGGAGTTGGTGAAATAGGCTTTTACCTGAATTGCCCCACAAGCTAATGAGTTTTTCTTCCACCACTGGTGGGTTAAAAGCAGGCTCATGGACATCAGCTCAGCTGATGTGGGGTATCCCTTCAAGCAGGAAGTAATTCAGCACGTGATGGCAGTTGGAGTAAAAGCCTTTGCCAGTGATGGAGCACTTCCCCAGCTGGGATGCAATTATAACCCAGCCAAGAACAGCCTGGTTTTGGGGTGGACCAGCTTTGGGTCAGCATAAAGCAGTCACGCACCCAGGAACGAGAAGAACCAGAAAAATGTGCACAGCAGCTTCCCCGGCAGTTTCTGATCTCGTTCCACCACGCTGCCTGTCTGCTGGGAGAGGGAGGTTTCGTTAATTAATTACTGCAATTAGTATGGAGCTATTCCTGCCCATGATGGTTACCTTTTCCTCCCCTGTTTTGGCGCATTCAATTACCAACTCATTCATTCTCCAATGCAGAGGCTACAACGAGGCACAGAGAGGCTTGAGGACGAGGGGGTGAAGTCTAAGAAAGAAACATAAGAGGTCCCAAGCTCTATTTCTGCCCAGGAACTTATTCTCTTGAGAATTTCTCATCCTCTTCTACCCACCAACCCATGGCTTCAAGGAGGTGATGAAGACAGAGCATGGCAGTTATGAATATTGCCATCTATGACTGTCTTAGATGTCCCACCAGCTGACCCATCATGAAGGATGGGTGATGGGCTTGTGTATGCCAAGGAGGACAAGACTCCCAATACCCATCGCATTGCAACAATCCTACAACCCTTCCTGCCCAGCCTTGGGCCATCGAGTCCCTCAAACAAACATTATCTACTTTGGGAAATTGATGATTTGTTTGCCGTTACTTAGCAGGGATGGTGAAGGAAAGGTGAGTGTGGGGTCACCGCTTCGGCGAGCACCAAAGCGAAGCACCAGCCTGAATAATTCATGCTCCCTCTTTTCTGCAGCATCTGGACACATCTGCTGCGTTCGCCATCGCAGGCTTTTTCTCGGCTGACTCAGAAAATCACGCTTTGGCAGCTGGGTACAGTTTCAAGTGGGTACTTTCCCTACAGGATTAACGAGATGTGATTTTGTTACAAATAGGGATTTTTGTTCCTCTTTTGCTGATGTCACTCCGTGCTCCTGCAGGGAATAGCGCTCGCATCTCTGCAGCCTGACGAGCCCTGTGTGCCCTTTGGGACAGATGTACTTGCAAGCGGGAGATTGTTTTTCCTTTTGCTGCCCAGATTTATATTTCACTGAAGTCCAGTATCGATCCCGCTGCCGCTGGGCTGGAAGCTCATTTTACTAAATGGGGAAGAAAAAACAGTTCCCCCCAGCTGAACGCACGTAAAATGGAAAATCCTGCAACAAAACAGCTCTTAAAAAAAAAACAGGGGCCTGAACGATCCTGCTGAACCTCGAGAACCGCGCTGCTGAACATCGGAACGGGATGTGATTTATTTAGCCTGACCTTTCCCTGCAAGACCGCGCTGGCGGCGTTATCAAGGTTCCTTTCTACCACTTGTACACCCATTGCCAAGGTGACGTCCCGTTTCATGCGTCAGCCGGTGGACGCTCGCATCCACGCTGCTGTGATGCTTTGTTTGCTGTCCTGCCTGATGAGCTCTTGGCGGGGTTTCAGCTCCCGCGGATGGCAGCTGCTCCCCGAAGGGACCAAAACAGATTCAAGCTGGACGTCATTATGGCCAGTTTCATGTAGACAGAGCACAGGACTGGGGTCAGCTGGACGAGAATGGACCGCGAATGAGATGTCCAGAGGTGCTTCCAGGTGTAATGGGACCAGCAAGTGACCACAGTGCTGCACCCCAAGCTCATCGCCATCCCATATCACTTGGGATTTATGTGAGTCCTCTTGGTCCTGGGCAACCAGAGGGATCTTGCCCACCCGCAGAGGCTTGCCAAAGCGCAGCTGGGTTTGGATGGTGGAGCACAACTGGTGGAACAAGTCCTGCTGCTGTGCAAAACCACCTCTCCCCTCCACCTTTTCCTCTCCCCTCCTAGAGCTTTCCCAGTGGGTCCCAGGACAAGGCAGAGATGCAGATGGGGAGGATGCATCAGCCCTTCACAAGAGATACTGTTGGCAGTGGGGACAGCTACAGCAGGGAGGGACATGGTCCCTGTAAAGCTCTTCTCCACCCCGTCAAGGAATTGAAACCTCTGAATGACCAGATTTTCACAACTCTACTGGGACTTTGGTGGTGGACGAGGACAAAGTTGCAGCTAAAAACATCCCCAAACCCCACCAGCTTCCTATAAGAGACTCAAAAGTGTACAGTTATGGGTGGAGAAAATGAATTAAGTGGCTCACCGGGGCAAAGCCTCCTCTGCTTCTGATATCAAAGGTAGGAAAGCCTCGCGGAGACTTCCCACGTGTCTATCCATTTCCCACTCCAGCCCACCCAGCCTTGTGGCAGGCTCTACCCCCCTCACACAGGCCTGATCTGAAAGGCCCCATTAGGAGGACAGGACAGGAGATGCTCTTGGCCACGGACACGGCTTTCACACGGTACCTGTGTTCTCCTCAGACTGGTTGAAGCCACAGATCTGGCAGATGCTGCGAACCCACTTGTTCATGTCGTCCTCGGTCTCGGCCACCAGGTAGAAGGTCCTGTCGCTGGTCTTGATGTCAAAGATGTAGCTGTCTTGCAGCTCCTTCTTGTTGAAGGTCAGGCCCGCATCCACTTGCTCACAGAAATTGAGGTTGATCACACGCAAAGGCTTCTTGGAATGGTCATTTTTGTAGTACTCCAGGACGTCGGGGTCCCCACTCATCCGACCACTGCGCAGGACGAACCAGCGTTTCTTCCATGCCTGTAACCAAGAAAAGAAGAAGCATGAACCCTATTGCTCAAGTTGTGAGAGCCAAGAAACCCTTGCCAGGCACAGGGTGACACAGATGGACATGATATATCTACCCCAGGATGTTTTGGGATGCTGCTCAGGACATCCTGGATGATTTGTTTGCCGTTACTTAGCAGGGATGGTGAAGGAAAGGTGAGTGTGGGGTCACCGCTTCGGCGAGCACCAAAGCGAAGCACCAGCCTGAATAATTCATGCTCCCTCTTTTCTGCAGCATCTGGACACATCTGCTGCGTTCGCCATCGCAGGCTTTTTCTCGGCTGACTCAGAAAATCACGCTTTGGCAGCTGGGTACAGTTTCAAGTGGGTACTTTCCCTACAGGATTAACGAGATGTGATTTTGTTACAAATAGGGATTTTTGTTCCTCTTTTGCTGATGTCACTCCGTGCTCCTGCAGGGAATAGCGCTCGCATCTCTGCAGCCTGACGAGCCCTGTGTGCCCTTTGGGACAGATGTACTTGCAAGCGGGAGATTGTTTTTCCTTTTGCTGCCCAGATTTATATTTCACTGAAGTCCAGTATCGATCCCGCTGCCGCTGGGCTGGAAGCTCATTTTACTAAATGGGGAAGAAAAAACAGTTCCCCCCAGCTGAACGCACGTAAAATGGAAAATCCTGCAACAAAACAGCTCTTAAAAAAAAAACAGGGGCCTGAACGATCCTGCTGAACCTCGAGAACCGCGCTGCTGAACATCGGAACGGGATGTGATTTATTTAGCCTGACCTTTCCCTGCAAGACCGCGCTGGCGGCGTTATCAAGGTTCCTTTCTACCACTTGTACACCCATTGCCAAGGTGACGTCCCGTTTCATGCGTCAGCCGGTGGACGCTCGCATCCACGCTGCTGTGATGCTTTGTTTGCTGTCCTGCCTGATGAGCTCTTGGCGGGGTTTCAGCTCCCGCGGATGGCAGCTGCTCCACGAAGGGACCAAAACAGATTCAAGCTGGACGTCATTATGGCCAGTTTCATGTAGACAGAGCACAGGACTGGGGTCAGCTGGACGAGAATGGACCGCGAATGAGATGTCCAGAGGTGCTTCCAGGTGTAATGGGACCAGCAAGTGACCACAGTGCTGCACCCCAAGCTCATCGCCATCCCATATCACTTGGGATTTATGTGAGTCCTCTTGGTCCTGGGCAACCAGAGGGATCTTGCCCACCCGCAGAGGCTTGCCAAAGCGCAGCTGGGTTTGGATGGTGGAGCACAACTGGTGGAACAAGTCCTGCTGCTGTGCAAAACCACCTCTCCCCTCCACCTTTTCCTCTCCCCTCCCAGAGCTTTCCTAGTGGGTCCCAGGATGAAGCAGAGATGCAGATGGGGAGGATGCATCAGCCCTTCACAAGAGATACTGTTGGCAGTGGGGACAGCTACAGCAGGGAGGGACATGGTCCCTGTAAAGCTCTTCTCCACCCCGTCAAGGAATTGAAACCTCTGAATGACCAGATTTTCACAACTCTACTGGGACTTTGGAGATGGATGAGGACAAAGTTGCAGCTAAAAACATCCCCAAACCCCACCAGCTTCCTATAAGAGACTCAAAAGTGTACAGTTATGGGTGGAGAAAATGAATTAAGTGGCTCCCAGGGGCAAAGCCTCCTCTGCTTCAGATATCAAAGGTAGGAAAGCCTCATGGAGACTTCCCACGTGTCTATCCATTTCCCACTCCAGCCCACCCAGCCTTGTGGCAGGCTCTACCCCCCTCCCACAGGCCTGATCTGAAAGGTCCCATTAGAAGGACAGGACAGGAGATGCTCTTGGCCATGGACACGGCTTTCACACGGTACCTGTGTTCTCCTCAGACTGGTTGAAGCCACAGATCTGGCAGATGCTGCGAACCCACTTGTTCATGTCGTCCTCGGTCTCGGCCACCAGGTAGAAGGTCCTGTCGCTGGTCTTGATGTCAAATATGTAGCTGTCTTGCAGCTCCTTCTTGTTGAAGGTCAGGCCCGCATCCACTTGCTCACAGAAATTGAGGTTGATCACACGCAAAGGCTTCTTGGAATGGTCATTTTTGTAGTACTCCAGGACGTCGGGGTCCCCACTCATCCGACCACTGCGCAGGACGAACCAGCGTTTCTTCCATGCCTGCAACCAAGAAAAGAAGAAGCATGAACCCTATTGCTCAAGTTGTGAGAGCCAAGAAACCCTTGCCAGGCACAGGGTGACACAGATGGACATGATATATCTACCCCAGGATGTTTTGGGATGCTGCTCAGGACATCCTGGAAGAGGTGCACAGACTCAGCTCAGTTCATTAGTTCAATATTCAAATCCCACTGGTTATCAGGGAAAATTAAATACCAGCAGGACGAACCAGCGTTTCTTCCATGCCTGCAACCAAGAAAAGAAGAAGCATGAACCCTATTGCTCAAGTTGTGAGAGCCAAGAAACCCTTGCCAGGCACAGGGTGACACAGATGGACATGATATATCTACCCCAGGATGTTTTGGGATGCTGCTCAGGACATCCTGGAAGAGGTGCACAGACTCAGCTCAGTTCATTAGTTCAATATTCAAATCCCACTGGTTATCAGGGAAAATTAAATACCAAAGTATCATAGAATGGTTTGGGTTGGAAGGGACCTTAAATATCATCTAGTTCCAAACTTCATGCCATGAGCAGGGACACCTCCCACTAGACTAGCCTAAGACGACCCCAAGAAGCGCTAGTCTTGAGTCATAGAGCAACCTTTCTCCCTACAGCCCAGCCGCATTCCCAGGACCCAAATAGCTTTTGTTCCTTCATGTGAGAAGGAGCATCACTGGCAATCACAGTGCCAAAATGCCTTCCAGCAGCTCGGTGGAGCTCAGGTGCTTTGGACACAGCCTCTTGGTTATCCTGCCCTTCAGAGAAACCCCTGAGAGCATCACAGCGCACATCTGCAGATACCGACCACACCAATCCCATCTCTGTTTAAATGCCAGGATAGAAAGGCCAATAAAACCAATGGGGAACTGGTTTGGTTTTTTAAATATCAGGAATAATGCCAGGGAGACCCGCGGAGAATCCAAGCTTCATTTGTTTTTCAGCATCTTCTGCTCCCTGGTATGTAGGAAACTCCTTAGCAAAGGAAAAGGTTACCATCGATTCTTCCAAGCGCTGCCGACAGCGGCCCCCGGCCAAAACACCTGGGGAACGGACTCAGGGGGTTACAGTGTTCAAAGCAAATTGGCAAAATAAATGTCAGCCATCAGCCCTGGCACTAGGAGTTGTGCCCCCTCTGCTTTCCCCCTGCCAAATACAGTTGGGACCCCACAGGATGGGCAGTAGCCACAACGATGATGTGCTAAATGCTACGACTTACATCACACAGAGAATTGTGCAGGTGTAACTCCCCACCCCATGGACTGGAGAGATTCTTGGGGGGGCTGGGCTCTTCCTGAGCATCCTGACCCCCGTGGGAGGGATGCACAGGGTGAGGGACCACCTTGAGCTGCTCTCCATCACAGAGCAATGCTGCCTTGCCAAGGGCTCAGCTCCCACGGTGTATGGAAGGGAAGGACTATGTCTAAGCACAGTCCTTAAAACAGCCGAGTTTGTTCAGGTTCCCTTTGAAAGAGGTGAAGGTTTGAGAGGTGCACAAACAACATGGGCCTGATTTGGTCCATGCAGATGAGTGAGGTGACGTGGGGCATCACCAGAGGTCCTGCACTGGCTGATGCAGACCTCGGTTTGCACTAAAGGGTGCCAAGGGAGGGGATGCGATTGCCACCATCCTGCCCTGGCCGTGGGCTTTTGCTTGTTTTGTGAGCTTTACCTTAATTATTTTTAAAAAAAATCACCCGTTTTTGGGTTCATGTGATTATGAGAGTTTGGGTCATGAGGAAGCACATGACGTCCCTAAGAAGGAAGAACCAACAGCCACAAAAATCTTTAGTTAACCCAAGAGAGGCAGCAAGGCAAGTGGTGTGCTGGGACCTCCATGAAGCTCCCTGGGAGGTGACTACAGCCCTGTGAGGCTATACATATTGGTGAAGGGCACGTGCTGGATCTCAGTCACCCAATTGCATGAGGATCCCACAATTTTGGAGAATTTAGTGGCTGAAATAAGGGTAAAAACCTCTTGCGATTGTTTCTCTGAACACTCTAACTTGCACCATACTTTTCAAAGGCTTAAAAATAGCTTTTGTTGGTGTCTTTGAAATTTGTAACCAAATTAGTTTTGCACTAATTCTCAAACCAGCTCCTAGTGCCAGGAAAGCAACTTCAGTTCAATCTTCCAAATGCAGTGGAGCAGGAAATTGCTTAGAAAGAGGACATGTGAGGCTGGCAGATTTTGGTTTCGTCCAGGAGACGCTCACCCACTTCTCATCAAAATGGATGTTTTAGATGAAAAAAACTGCACACAGCGGAGCTGTGTCCATCAGGGAGGGAGGAAAACAACTTCACCAGGCAGCAGCAATAATTTGCTAGTCCATCTCCTTAAAATGGATTACCCAAATAATTGGAAAAAAAAAAACATGAACATTTTGTTCTAGCTCTAGGTGAAAAATGTCCCATTAGCTCCTACCTATTAGCACCAAGCTATTCCTTTGCAGCCACTTGGCAGGACTAAGACATGGGCAGACATCAGTGATGGGGTCTGAAAGAAGATCAAGTTGTGCAACCACATTAGCCACCAGCTGAATGAAGACACATCCAACACCTTTGCTTGCTACTTGGCTCATTGCTCAAGCTTTGCAGCATCCCTTCATGGCTGAGGAGTTGCACTGAAGAAACCACAAAATACAGACACTAGATTCTAGAATTTAGAGCTTTCACAGAAAAAATAGGAGGAAATGCTGCGAGCAAGGCCAATGATGCTACCACGGCTTCCCTTTTTAGGGCCAATGCGAGAGCCACAACTTCTCTAGTTCTCTTTGGTCTGTCTGGTAGCAATGGAAAGCCCCCATAGTCAATATTTAGCAGAGAAAACAGTAGAACACATGAAGTCTGGTGGCATTGGGTAAGTCCTAACATAAGCTGGTTGCAAACGAACTGCTGTTGTCAGGACAAAATTTCTTGGGAATCCTCAGGAGCTGGAGTATCACTGGAAGGTGGGACCCTTGGACAGAACAACAGACCCACCAAGCTGGGACGACCACCCTGTCCACCTCTGCCTGGTGCCCCCATGATGATAAAGAGTCACTGGTGTTTTTCTAAAACAGCTTCAGATCCAGAAAAACAGCTCAGGGCAGCAGCTGTTGTCCTGGACAGATGGCTGCAGGCAGCACAGTTGGATGCATCTCCTACTGCACAACCACCCAGCAGGACTCTGCCTCCTGAGATCAGCTTCTGAGCCAGAGGGATAAGCACTGGCCATTAGAAGAGAATGGAAGGAAATAATAAAGAAATAGCCAGGAACCTTCTTATTTTTTTGTAGACATTTTCCCCATTTCTTCAATTTTTGAGCACTGGGCTCAGCAAGTGTATTTTAGCTCTTCCCCATGGATTCGCTGTTTTTCCGTTAGGAAAAAGGCTCAGCTTGTGCTTGCCAGGCTGGGGTTGCTCCTGGAGCATCTCGTGGCACTAATGGAGCTTGCTTCAACATATAGTGGATAGCCAGGAACCTTCTTATTTTTTTGTAGAGATTTTCCCCATTTCTTTGAATTTTTGAGCACTGGGCTCAGCAAGCTTATTTTAGCTCTTCCCCACGGATCCACTGTTTTTCCATTAGGAAAAAGGCTCAGCTTGTGTTTGCCAGGCTGGGGCTGCTCCTGGAGCATCTCGTAGCACTAACGGAGCTTGCTTCAACATATAGTGAAACCTTCTTATTTTTTTGTAGACATTTTCCCCATTTCTTCAATTTTTGAGCACTGGGCTCAGCAAGTGTATTTTAGCTCTTCCCCATGGATTCGCTGTTTTTCCGTTAGGAAAAAGGCTCAGCTTGTGCTTGCCAGGCTGGGGTTGCTCCTGGAGCATCTCGTGGCACTAATGGAGCTTGCTTCAACATATAGTGGTATGTGGCAAAGGATACACAGCCTGCAGCACGTGTCCCATCCTCCTGGGACACCTATTTACCCACTCAAAACTATCAACATAGAATCACGGAATCATAGAATGGTTTGGGTTGGAAGGGACCTCAAAGATCATTGAGTTCCAACCCCCTGCCATGGGCAGGGACACCTCCCACTAGAGCAGGTTGCTCAAGGCCCCATCCAGCCTGGCCTTGAACACTTCCAGGGATGGGGCATCCACAACTTCCCTGGGCAACCTGTTCCAGTGTCTCACCCCCCTCATAGTAAAAAATTTCTTCCTGAGATCTAATCTGAATCTTTTTTCTTCCAATTTAAAACTGTTTCCCCTTGTCCTATCATTATACTTCCTGGCAAAGAGTCCCTCCCCAGCTCTTCTATAGGCACCCTTCAGGTATTGAAAGGCCGCTATAAGGTCTCCCCAGAGCCTTCTCTTCTCCAGGCTGAACAATCTCAGCTCCCTCAGCCTGTCTTCATAGGAGAGGTGCTCCATTCAAATTCAAATTCATTCAAATTTTCCATCTTTAGGTTTCCCTAGAACATCACCTTCCTGCAGGTGGGTGATTTAAGGATCTACCAACCACCAACTGTGATGGCAGTAGGATACATAGGATCCATCTGTCCATGCCAAACCAGAGGAGGATGCAACTCCACGTGAACCCAAACACTCTTGTTTCCAAGACCACCTTCTCCCACCACGGGGCTGTGATGGCCAACACACATCTCCTCCTCCACCTGAATTCTCCTTCTCTCCTTACTTCTATTCCTTCCTGGCTCCTTTGAAGCCCCTGTTGCTGTCAGCCCGCTCCTGCCAAAGCACCATGCCTCACCGACACGTGGTGTGAGCCAAGGGCTCTGTTTGTTTAACAGCTTTATGACGTGGAGAGGCCAGCAGCTTAACAGCCATAAAATGGTGCCTTTGCAGCACAAATTTCCAGCTGTGTGGTCCTTTGCCTGCATCAGGTTGCTTCACAGTTAAATTACAGCTGCTGAAGGCCCTTAGCGTCATTGAGAAATATTTTGACATTTGGCGAGTACTTCTCTTAAAGACTTGTTTGTTAAAAAAAAGTGCCCATCACGCTGCCAGCACAATGTAAATCCTCCCTGGAGAGAACTCCTCCTGCTGAGAAC